ACAGAATATCTTGGAATGGCATTGTTTAAAGATTTCTTTCTTTCTTCTAAGGGCTTTGTCGTACAAGCCCTGTTCTCACCACAAGCACACTTGTCTATGAAAATGGAATTATACTTGTTTATGTTCACCACATCACTGCACATCTTCGTAATCATGTGACTGCTGCCGTCATGCTTTCTTCCTGACTCCCTCTTAACCCTGCCTCCATGCCCTACTCAGCATGCCTTCTTGTTTTCTTAAATTTTATTTTTATTTATTTTTATTTTCATTTTTTTGTTCAATTCCAGAGCATTACTACTGCACTTTTCAGGGTGTTTTTCCTTAAAGAAATTTAATTTTTAAAAAAGGTAATAGCAAGGAACAGCAATGGGGAGGGGGGGGGACAGGGAGAGACTGACACTATATGACTGTCAATAACACAACTGCCCTGGCAGTGATGTTTTGGATCTGAGGACTAGCATGATTGCGAGCTCATTGATGGGTTTCCCCATCGATGAAAAGGGATGCCCTAACTGCACTTAGAGGAAGCAGCAGCTACAGGTCGAAGGTGACATCATACAATAGGTATTGCCAATGCTGCATTTTTCTGGGTTTCATCATGGTTTAAAAGCTGCATATAGCAATTTCCTAACTCTGCAACATGATTGGCTATGGGGCAGTTCTCTTTGAAAAAACAGTAGTTTTGGAGGCCTGACTGATTCTGACTGGTCCTACTCAGAGAATTCTCATGATCCTAGTTACTGTTCAAATGCTGGAGCCATTACAGTGGACTGATCAATTATTCCTCTCTGCCTTCTTTTTTTTAGGTGGAGGGGGGCTGGTAGTTTCTGCTGGGATGAGAAACCTGATTCCAACTGCTTTCTTATTTCTTTTTAGTGGAATAAACAAACACCAGTAGGCCATGTTTTCAAGAGTACTGCAAACTTCTTCAATGACGGGAAAACTAGGATAGGTAAGTAAAGTCATTGTTAATCACTTAATGCACAAGCTGCCCGAAGTCTCCTTTTGAGAGGATTCCATAGAAGAGATGTTAGTTTATCTTACTTTTCCCCTCCCTTTCTAAGAAGTCAGCATTTGTCTAATCTGCGAGTTTTACATATGTATTGAGTTTTGCCGAATTGTTAATTTGCATTCAGTTTGTGTGGAAAGAAAATATCATCACTGTTTGAAAAATTATGGCCAGAAATACAAAGACAGGAAACTGGGCTTGAATAGGACTTTGTATTCCTGAGTGCAAGAAAGGACCTGGAACATCCTACAGCCAGGCTACACACTGTGAAGGAAACCTGGGGGCTCCAAGTCCCATACTATGCTTGTAACACTCACAAGAGGTGGGGAAGAGTTTCTGAAGGGGTGAATCTACAGATGCAATTGTGTGCTGAACCTTTACAAAAACCACATGTTTTCTCTTGGGACCCTTTCACACTACACTGTTATAGAGCTACAATTCAACTTTGGCCTCATTCCCACTTACATTTAAACTGATTTGCGATTCACCTTCATTCCGTGTCAGTGAATCGGTTCCAAAAGGTCTGTCGTTCCCACTACGAATGCAGATCTTTTCATTATTCCCTTGTAATCGCTTCTTTTTTCACACGATTGTCATTTGTGCCCCTTCAAAATGCATGTCAATCATCTGTGTGTCATCGGTGACAAGGGGGGAAATTGGGGGCTTGTGCTCTCCTTTTGGCCATCCATTATCAGCCTTGGGAAAAGGGTGGAAATTGGGGGGGGGGCTGTGCTCTCCTTTTTGCAAGCCATCATCAGCCTTGGGGAAAGGGGGTGAAATCAGGGTTCTGTGCCCTCCTTTTGGCCAGCCGTCATCAGTCTTGGGGAAAGGTGGGGACACTTCTGAATCGATTCTTTTCAAAAGAACTGTCAGGAAACTACTGTCAGAAAAGAGCGGGTTTTTTGCATTTGCCTCACTTCATCGCAACTGAAACCGAGCTCAATAGGATCAAAACTGGTTTCAAGTAGGGACGATTCACACATAACCCAATCAGCAATTTGAGTGAAATCATAGTGGGAATGAGTTCTTTGACTGCTATAGCTTCATCCTATGGAATCCTGATATTTGCAGTTTGGTGCGGCACTAAAGCACTCTGGCAAAGAACAATTAGTACCCCTCCCTAAACAACAGATGGGACAGTTCCATTGGATGTTGCCATGATAAAGTACAATCATAAAACTATAATCATGTTGTATGAAAGAGGCCATGGAAAGTCATTGGGCCCTAGTCATTTTAGAGGTATTTTACCCCATCAGTCACTAGAAGTCATCCTAGTTGGAGGGACATAACTGCAAGGGAGGATAAGTACCTATCAGAAGGGGTTAAACACATCATCCTGCATCTCACAGATCCTACACTGTAAGTGTCCCCCTTGCTCTCGGCAAACATTTAGATGTGATTGTACATAAAAGAATAAATATTAAATCCAGTCCTGAGTCATCAGAAGATGCTAACCAGCTTGAGGTTTTTATTTCCTACACTAAGAACTTTCCTTTCTGTTTGGCACGTACTGATTCAGTAAGCATTTCTCTCTATTTCCTGTGTGAGGAGGAATGTCATCGATTTTTCCCATCCACATATGACTTGCCTAGAGTTTATGATGACAGTGTTCATGGAGATTTCATGATACCTCATGTGGTCTCAAACATCTGTAAATGAGCACATTGTGACCTAACAAATGTGACTTCCTTTCCCTCTGTACCCTTCTCAAAGTTTGGAGAATGATTTTATTTTTTCAGTAACATCTTACCATTAGTAATTATTTTTCCTGTTATTTTTCTACTGCTTCTCTCTTCTGAAAATATACTTTTGAAATAGAAAAATGGCTAGAAATCATGCAAAATGAAATGAATTTTCCAAAACATTTTAGAATTAATTAGTAAATTCTATTCGTTATTACATGTTTTCATATTACTTTGCAAAAAGATGTAATTATGGCTTCCTTATCCCTAACAGTAAAATGTTGCAAGTAACATTATTACTTGTAAAATGTTGCTCTATGTTCTGACTTTTTTTTTGGATAGATAATTATGGTTTCTCTCTACATTATATGTTCTCTAGTTGGGTGACGGAAAGGCACAGAATGTCCTCAGTCCTTTTTTTTTTTTATCTTTCCTGTAGCACTTCATTGTCTTTGGATTCCCCTTTGACAGTCCATGTTCTTGCCCAGTTTTATAGTCTAGGGACCTTATCACACGGGGTCTAAAGCAGAGTTAATCCAAAG